CACATCACATAGAATTTGTTTCATGCTCTAGACAAATGTTTTCTTGGATTATTAATCAAGTTTAATAATTCATAGAGACCCCAATTCCACAGAGCTTGTGTGGCTCCTTGCAGAGAGCCCCACTTGGTGCCAGTGGCATTCCCTCAGATGTCTGCTTGTGCAGTTCTCAGATGCAGACTTAAATGCCAATTCTCTGTGAAGTCAGTAGTTAGACTTCTATGGATTTCACTGGGCATTGGACTGGACTGTACATTCCTTGATAAAGGATTGAGTTTTCTCCTCTCTGCATTTGAAAACAGTTACCACCCAGCTGATAGTACAAGAACGACAACTGAAATGCTGATTTCAGATCTCAGTGAAACCACTTAGGACTGCAGGCAGAAGGTCAAGACAATCAACACTGAGGAGTGCAGGATTGTTTGCAGTTAATCCTGATACTGGCACTCGCAGTGACTTTATAGTGGTTCCTGCCCAACAGCCAAGTAAAGCGTTTAGTAGAGCCTGCAGAGGTTGTGAATGTTTTCATACTCCTATTTAATTCCCTGAAGTCCTTGTAATTCCTTATAGTCAGTGTACAGTGTATTTAATTTACTGTATTAGAAATTTGCCATTTGAGATTTCTGATGGCTTCGAGGCTCTGATGCTGTCATCAGACTTCATCAGGAATGAGCAAATGTTGATGTCATACTGTGGTTTATGAGCCACAAGCTCATCATACCTCTATTTCTGCTTGGTTTTGTGCTTCTACTAGTGTTGCAGGAACTCACACACCATTTCAGACCTCTGAAAGTCTAATTCTCATGCACCATACTTTTTTTTTTTTTCTTTCTGAACTGGGGCAGATGTCCCTTTCTGTAATAATTTAATTAACACTTTGGAATAATGATGCATTAATTAATGCCAGATTACAGTGGAAATGCTACAGAATTACACTTTATATCAACATTAATGCAAAATGAGTTCCTCCTGGATAATATTTCTTACACAGAATACAAAAAGAGATAATACTAATTAGACCATCAATTTAAATTTACCATAATTTCAATACATGTCACTTACCTGTTCTGTAGCACAAAACCTGCTGTTCTGCCATACACTTTTGCTGCATTGATATCAGTATGGCAGACAGACTGGGAGTCATATAGTACACTCCTGTACTATAATCCTGGGTTTGGTGTCTGCGTTGTGAAGGATTGAACTTTAAAAATCAGGTATAGGCTTAATAGTGTTCTGACATAGATCTTCTCTGGGTAGAGAAACTTCACTGGCAAAAAAATAACCTCACCAGAGGCACAGGATTTTGTATCGTGCATGGCAAATTATTAGACTGTAACACACAATTCAGGTTATTCTAATTCTTCCTGGCATGGCCCAAATTTTCTGCTGCAAATGCAACATCTGCAAAGTCATTCTTTTGTGAGCATTATTATTTTATCTGCTTCATACCAGAATGTGAGACAAATAAGAAACCAAGGTTTCTATTCCCAAGTAGCTTCAGTCTCAGTAGTGTATTCTCACTCTCGAGAATAAAATGTTTTATTTAATGCACATCTGATTTCACTTGCACTTTGGTGCTTTTTTCTTTATATAACCATCACCTAGATGCTGCCTCTTGTGCAGGCAAGAAAAGAGGATTAAAAAGATAATTCTGAAATGCAAGGCATGAAAAAAATTAGCCAAGATGATTCAATATCAATGAACATCCAACAAAGCTTTTCTTTCCATCTCCCCTCCTGAATCTTTCGCAGTCTGCGTGGAACCTGCAGGGTCATCAGAATTTCAGGCTCCTTGCTCTTCAGCAATCAGTGTTGAAGACCAGTAGAGAGTCAAGTCACTAGAGGCCAGTCAGGCTGGCTTGCAAACACTGATGTTCATTTGAAATTCCCCAGGTGTACAGGGAGCTAGCTGCACTTCAGTCCAAAGTAAGTAATGAAAAGTAGTCAGGGACCTGGAAGACTTGGCTGTACCAGCACGCTAGGAGTTTGAGTTGTTCACCCACCATGAAGAACTTTGGAAATTATCAAAGGAAATTTTTTCATTTTCCAGAATGCAATCTTTCAGAATTTGCTGCATGGTGAATTTTAAGATATTTGGGGATTTTATTCCAAATACGAACAACACCAAATTTTGAAATTCCCTAGGAAACAGACTCTGCTCAGCTGTAGTTGCTTTCTTCAAACACTGAAAAATTCTTCTTTATAAAAGTATTTTACTCAGTAGATTTTAATTGTATTCTTTTATACTAGCCTTTTACACAAATTTTATTATATAGAATAGAATTATTTAGTTCAACACAGAAAATGCTGATGCCCTTGTAGAATGCTTTTGCCAACAAGGGGATTTCAAGAAACACTGGCCACTTAGCAGATCAGATCAAGAGGCAGTAGCTGTGAAGAACTACAGAGTGGTGACAGAGTTCAAAGAAAACAAAACTCCTTATAGATAGTCCTACTTTATGGAAAAATATTTCAGCCTGGATAGTGGCTTAGAAAATTCTTTTGCTGGCACATTGTGTATCTTCCAGAGGGGACTATTCTTTTTTTTTATTGACATTTTGAGTGAAATGTATGTCATGAAAAGAATAGCAACTTGTATCCAGTTAAATGACATTAGCCCTAAAACAGGAGTTGTGGGATTCAACCATCACAAATCTACACGGTATTCTGCACCAGAATGAATTTCACACATTGTACTTTGGCTTTAGCGTACTGCTTTCTCTGGAGAGTACCATTCTGGTCTCTCCACCACATGGGCAATTCGATTTAATGCAATAGCTCTTCTCCTTTGCAGAATTTATTTGAAATTTAGAAAAAGTCAGGTATGTAAATCTGTGTGATTTGTTTTATGAAACTACCTCTTTATTTGGGACAGTTCACTATAACTGGACATCACTGCCCAGGACTGTTAAAAGAATATGTAGTTAGGGGTAATGAAGTGAGTGGAGTTTTGAAAATATAAAGAAAATTTACTTTCTGAGTAGCTATCTGTTAGATACTAGAACAGACTTTTTGGAGAAGTAAGCCCTCATCATTAGATGGACTTACAACTCAGTGTAGAGTAGACAATGTACTAGAAAAAAATATTATATTTTTTATAACTGATAACTTAGAAACTTATAACTGAACTGATGTTGATCCCAATGTTCTGGAATTAAGAAACCTGAAAAATCTTTTCTATCTCTAACTTCTCTGAGGACTGACAAAGAAGGGCTTTTGTAGATCAGGACTCAAGCAAGTATATTAAAATGGTCTTGTATAGTAAAACAGTCTTGTGCTGAGGAAGCTTGCTCTGTGCCAGTCTACACTGTGCTTTCCCATCTCAAGTGCAATTAATCCCTTTCACAAGCAATGAAGTATGTTCCGAAAAATGTAAAGGAAAAAAAAGGGAAGATTATTTTTAGATTTTATATGTAACATCAACTAGAAACTAATTGGATTAAATATTTTAGTACAAATATAGCACTCTTCACCAGACTTTCTGTTTAGGTTGCCAGTTTATGTGTTTTTCTCTGTTTAAGTCTTCATAATGTCTTTTTTTCTCATTAAGTTATATGGTCTCAAAATGAAGAACTCTTAGTCTTAATTTTTTAGATTATTTTAACCCTTCATTGCTAAGAATGGAGAAACAAAATATTTTAGCTGGACAACTATCTGATAGTGCTGTGTTTAGTTGAAACTACAAATTAACATCTACAGGGGACGGAAACAGGGTCGGATGCCTCCCTTTATGACAGCATCCTTATGGGATGTAAAAATCTAAATATGCAGATGTCAGAGTTAAGTTCAAGTATTTTAGTACTCACATGTTTAAGTACTAGGGTTTTTTTTTCTAGCACATTTCCATCCTTAAATCAGAGGTGGAATATTTGTAAGGTGGTGACTGATAGAGGATTTCAACAGCTTTCCAATGTTAACTTTAAGGCTTCTGTGGGACATCCTTCTTCTACGACAGCACCAATACATTGGTAACACCTGCCTCTTTCCAATTGACCACACTTGTTGACACTTATGTGCATTGACAAATCAACCAATAACCTTCTTCTGGTTTTCTTTTTCATCAGCATTAGTACAGGTAGCTCTGTGCATAGAGAATTACGATATACAATGTATACCTTGTTTAAATGTATTTTATTTAGTGCCAGACCTATTTCTGGTCATATTGCTTAATGATACCTCTAACTCAGAAAGGATAATTCTAAGAAAATAAAGCTTTTTTGTCTAACTTGAATAATTCCATCCCCAGACCATCCTATGAGTTATATGTATTTAAATTTTGTCCCAGAATAGTAGGACAGTTCATGTTTATGTCATGTTCATGTTCATATCAATTCTCTGTATTTATGTCTATGAAAGAGAAAAGAGCTGACTTTTCAGGTTCTGCTGGTAGCCAGAAAACATCGTACCCTTACCACAGTGCTGCATGTTGGAGCATAACATCAATAATACCAAGCTAATTCCAAAGGGGATAATACATCCACAGGGAGTGGGGCAGCATTGTAAAAGGTTGCTAGCTTGGACTGTGAAATCAAGAGAGGCACAGTCAAGTGATGCTGCACCTGAGTTAGTACATCATCCATCTTGATGGTTGTAATTAATCAGGGACAGCGCGGCACTGATGATGCTGTGCTGCTTCCAGTCCTGCTGCATTGGTACATCCAAGTGTGGTTGCAACCAGTTCAGAAACCATTGCACAGATGTTTGTCAAAGCCAAGACAAATATTAATATCACAGAGTTACATGCTCAAATTTTACAAATCACTACTCAGGCACATTCATCAGAGCTATACTACATAGCTTGGCTAATGACTATTGAATATTTGAAATATGTAAGTTCAAAAGCAATGAGTAAAAACTGCAGCAATTGGAGAAAGTTGAATAAATTCAAAGAAATCATGATCAGCTCCTGGATATTTAGTAAACAATAGTTTTATAAGTCATTTGCTATGCATTGTTTATTCACCTCTAATAAGTATCATACAGTATAAATGGTATTTTTATTTCGGCTCCTAGAACATAAAATGATCTGTGGAAGCTAGCTGAGAGTTTTGCAAGCGTATCTGAATGGAGAATCAACTGAGGTAAGTTGGAGTTTATGTCCCTGAACATATTGTATGATCAGAGAATAAGGCAGGGTTTAAATATAGATTGAAAACCACAGGGTATTAAGTGTCTAGGAATATTTTACCTTATGGAGTTGAAGTCTACAACTAAACTTAACAAAGAGGTAATGTGAAATACAGTGAAAAAAATAATTGCTGGGTGGTCTCTGCCACATACTGTATTCTGTGGTGGAAAAGGCTGAGAGCCATAAGAAAGATATTGGGACCAAACCTGACATACTGTATACATTAAACATCTTACTATTTACCTTCTGAGAAAAGTTCTTTAAGGAACTCGTGGGTTTGTTAACAAAAACTTTATGGCATTATAGGAAGCCCAGAATCTGGGATGAAAATGCTAGTGTTAGCCAAACCTTTAGGTGGAGCAAATTTTCCAGAGTTACAAAAATATTGTTTTTTTGGGAAGCCAAGGAATGGATACCATATAAGTGGATCTCAGCCCATTTGGATAGCCTTTGAAAAAGCACAAACATTACTTTTTCATTTGTTCTCATTAACAATGGTGAACTGAAAAACGCTGAATGCAGTACTGAAAGACATGGCTAAGTAGATTTTGAATCATGAAGAATACACAAGGGAAAATGCAAAATGAAACCAAGGGAAGTCCTATGAAGCAAAATGAATGTAGGATTTGTTTTCTTGATTTTTTATCCTTAAGTGTCAGGGCCCTGAGGGCACCATCACGCCTCACTGGCCCAGATCAGCCCCTTCGGGGCTCCCTCATCCTGCCCAGGGGCAGGACCTCCTTTCAGATGGCAGTGCTGTTAGCCCTGACCCAGTGACAACACAGGAGCGCCTGTCTCCAGCTCCCCACAGCCCTGCCCTACCCGGCCATGGGCCTCGCTTGACCTGGGCCACCCACAGGCCCACAATCTGGGCCAGTCTTGCCCCATCCCTGTCCCTAGGGAGATGCCACTCTCAGCCCCACGGAGGCCTCAGCCTGCACGTGGCCCCAGTGTTAAACAATAAAGCAGGAGGGCTGCACGTTGTGGTGTTACAGAACACATCAGAGCCACGGAATGGTGGCTGTTTCTTTCTCATCTCCTTGTAAAACCGTGTAGGCTCAGAGTGGGACTTCAAACTTGTACAGCTGCAGCCTTCCTGCAGATGGTGAGAGAAGTACTGTGGAAACCTCTCCACTTCTCCACTAGGACTAACACAGAGGCAATGTAAGTAAAACATAGACTTCTGCGAATGTCTAAGGGCTTTGAGTCAAGCCCCTTAACTATATACATTATGTTCTCCCCTCCTCTCTGCTCACTTCAATCTCCTCAAAATTACCACTCATAGCTTAATGAATAAGCACTATAGCCTTAAATGCTGAAGGGAGGCAATGGAGGAAGATTACAAAGTGAAGGCAAGGAAGGAGTGCTAGTGTGCTGCCTTATTCCCGCTGCTTTTTGATCAATGGAACAATAAACGCCAATGAGAACTGCTAGAGATAGTTCAAGAGATGTGGACAGATGCTTGTCTTGTGGCTCTTCAAAGGTCATTTACTAACTTAAATATTATATGATTGTAATTTTCGTTGAGGGTTGGTGACTTTGTTCCATTTGTGTGGGTATCCAATTACAACTCAAATATTTGGTCTTGACAGCAGTTTTAGACTACATAGTTAAATGAAAAATGAACCACATACAGTACATACTTTAATAACAGTCATTCTTAAGAGAATTTTTTGAAGAACGACTTCTGACCCACCAGAATTATTAAACATCCTGTAGCATTTTTTGTAAGATTAGTCACAGTGTCTTTTCTGAAACTCAATATATATCATTACATTCTGCCTCCATAAATCGCCCTATGGTATCAACTGAATATAGTATTCTTCTGTCACATATTCTTGTAGAAAGTTAAAAAGCTGTCATGTTCCATCTCAGAAATGGATCCACTTTGCTAGAATGTAATGCAGTTCTATTACAAGATTTGGATTTTTTTGTTATTTTACAATCCAGTACATTTGCAAGAAAATCCATTATTTTTTCAGTGCTTCTTGGTGTTCTCATCAGCATCAATGAGTATAGAAATGATAAGTATTAGTATTTTGCACAGGCACTAATTTCCAGAGATTGTCCTCTAGGATTGTCCACAAAAGAAAGAAAACCATACATTTTCATTTGCACATGTGCCTGATTGCATGCACCAGCAAAACACCAAGTTTCTAATTTTTCAAAATCTCTCTTTATTTCACAAGCAATGACTACATTCTAGATGAAGGTCCCAAAAATGTATTTACTTACATTTTGTTTCTTGGCAAGTCTTGCAGGTGGTGCAATAAATGTCACTCCTTCCTGTTAAATATCAAGCAAGCAGATCATTCTGCTTCTTTAAGTCTTATCTTTGACCGAGAGGAGAGCCAGTAGCCCTGCTCCTCTTGATTATTATGTATCTCATTATGTGTTTGCCAGAATGGGGATATAAACTTAGTGCTCTATCCAGGTTCAAGTGTGAATAATTACATTCTGCCTACCTAAATTCCCACCGCAATTTCATTTGGGTACAGTATATTTCTTCATTTCCTGCTCTCAGGCCTGTTCTGGCATCTACTGAAGTTAATGGAAAGTTCTCAAAGACTTTGGTGAAGGAAAATGTCCATAAACTATGGTGTAATTCTGTTGCGGTATTAAACAGCTTGAGTTGACATAAGAGCCTGTATCTTATTATAAATTGCTTGTACTGTATATCTTTACCAGTTTGGAAAACTCTTCACATCTCATCAACATTATGTGTATATTCAAGATATAACGAATGCCAATTACCATATTATATATGTATTCTACTACAGACATATCTGTTAAATTTACAGATATATATGGTTAATCCCAGTGTCACTGAACTTTATGAAGATCTTTTTTTTTACTTTAGTCAGGATGTGTAGGTAATACCTTAATATTGGTAGGGCGATGTAGCCTTCTGAGGCATGGAAATTCTGTTCTCTGTGTTTTGTGGATGTCTGTAGACAAAAATTGAAATAAACAAGTTGTTCAAAAATTGCATTCAAGTCTTTTGAACCCTAGATCAATACCTAAACTACAATACTCCATGGCACTTCATCAAGGAATGAATGCAGTTTGCAATTGGTATTCTGTACTTTCTTAGCAAAGTTTGGAATTTTTGAAAATTATGTTTTTGCTTTAATAGCATTTCTAGAGATTAAAAGTGCAGGTTTTGAACTCTTCTCACTTGTTTCTAGTAAGTTCCTTGGAGGAGACAAAAAGAACATGTCTCAGTGAGCAACTCAGACAAAATCATGAAGTAATTCAGACCTTCACTTTCCTAATGTTTTGGGGGTACTCAGACCATCTTTAACCAGAACTGATTTTATTTAGTATTTTAATAATGTAAGGGTCACTGTCTAATGAAACTAGCTTACTCCAGGCTGGAATATTTAATACAGTTGTTCCCAACTTCTTTTCTCTTGATGATTATGTTTTCTAAGTTACTCCATTCACTCTCATGACTTTTGATTGTATTCTCATGAGCCAGGCTCAGGCTGGGGCAGGACACAGACCATCTCTTTATTTCTCCAAAGTCTGTGTCATGTACTTTTTGACCTTGGCCTGAGCTATTGGCATGGAAATTACTAGTATCCTAAATATACAGCATTCTTTTTTTTTTTGGTATTAGACAAAAACAGGAGTAGGGCTGGTATAAAAGTCTGTGATGACAGCTTCATACCATTTCTCAGAAACTGGCAAAAAAATTCTGCAATGAAGCTAGAGTAGTGGAGAGAATCTCATCAATTTAATTCTGTGATTCTTACGGTGGCAGTGGGAGGTCATTTGAATTCAAGAGCAAAAACAAGTCTTGCAGTATCACATACAGCATTTCTAATAATTTCAAAATCCTCTAAATCAGAAGAGTGGTACAGGTAAGCAAGCTGGTAATAACCCTCCTGACAAGAATGATGGTTTTATTTTATTTTATTTTTAAATGTTTCTGCAGCTTGCTAGATTCATAACCTAGGGCAAGTTTAATTAAAGTCAATGAAGCAGTTTAAAGTGAAGAAAAAATAAGCAGTAGAAAAAGTGTTGATTATTTTCTAATTACGCTGTGGACTTCCTCTGTAATGGATTCTTGCCTTTTTAACTCCAGATAAAGCCAGTGATATATGCCAATGTAGACAGGAGACCTGGTAAATTCCTTCATAAAATTTCCTCACTAGTTGCATCTCTAGATATCTTAGCACCCTTATGACATGATCTATTTCATTATTTTTTGTCAACAGTTGGACAAGGTGGATTTTATTTTCTGAATATTGTAACAATAGAATAAAGTATCATGCAGGAAAGGTTTGCATGTGTAGTTTGAAAACCTTTGGTTTAGGAATCCTTTATTCACAGAGCAAACCTATAATTATTTAAGTGTCCAGATTCAGCCTGAATTGAGGAATACCAGTGAATACGGAGAATAGTTGTTGTGAATGCTGCTCTGAACTCATCGATGGACTCAGTAGGATTTTGTTTTGATGTGGCTGGGCAGCTTGCCTACAATATAAATGGCACCCCTCTTACCCTCAGTGGATAAGGATCTGCCAGTTGAATGTTGCTTCCAGTCATTACTTCCAAACATTTCCTGACTTAATACAAGGAACAGGCAGTCCGTATTCCTGCCAGCTGATCATCAGCCAGGTTTGTGATCTGACAGTGATTTGCTTTAGTAGAACCATTCATCTCTTTTGGAACAGTGGATGGATATACTTTCTAGAGTTCATCCTGAGGTACCAGTGAAGCTCAGAAGGGAGGATGATAGGATACTTGACTGTCCCAAGGTAACAGTCCAATGTCCCAGGACAATGTACATAGAATAATAGAATCATTTAGGTTGGAAAAGACCCCTAAGATCATCAAGTCCAACTGTTAACCTAGCACTGCCAAGTCTACCACTAAACCATGTCCCTAAGCACCACATCAACATGACTTTTTATACCTCCAGGGATGTTGATTCAACCACTTCCCTGGCAGCCTGTTCCTGTGCCTAAGAACTTTTTGGTGAAGACGTTTTTCCTAATATCTTAAATTTCCTTCATTTAGATGCTGCATCTCATGCTTTGTTCTTTCTGACACATCCCAGTTCATCTCACCTAACCTATCAGAAGAGGGTATAAGAAGCGCAATTTGTGCTGTAGCCATCTCATCCAGAAATTTACCTTGAGGTTTTATATTTTCAAATCAATCTGCATATCAGTAAGTATTCCCACTGAGCTGTTACAAAAAACCATGTGCTGTATTATAACAGCTTTTATAGTCTACTGTAAGTCTCCTTTGTTCAGGACTACACATTAAATAATGTATTATAACTTTGATACATTTACTCCTTTCTTTTATTTTAGACGATTTATTCAGTCTTCAAAATCCTTCCATCAAGATTTTGGCCTGATGACTGTCCAGAGGCCTCCTTAAATTAGAGCAGGTACATTAGGTTCTGCACTTTGTGAAATTCTGAATTGTCCCATCGTTCTTCATCACCATTTTAATGGGCATATTTCTGGTCTTGATGAAGAAAGAGTCTGCTTGGCAAGACACAGTAAACTAAGCATGAGCTTTGAGTGGGCTTGATAGAGTTCACTAGAGGAATGTAACATTTACAGAGGAATTTAAATGCTCCTAGCAGTGCATTTTTCCTATGAGAAACTCACTAAATGTTCACAGAATTGAAGGCTATAAACAAAATCTTTTGCACCTCTCTAGAGAAGCAATGAAAGCATTTAACAATTATTTTGTAAACAATCAACTTAATATTCAGGTTATTTTGTAGAAATGATAACTTGTTTGTAACTGTGTATTAAAAAACACATCACAAGTCATTTAGGCTGCAAGATCAAGCACTCTCAATGTAGAGGGTGGCCCTAGAATCCTGTTAGCTTCCCTCATGTATGCATTATGATGACGTCCTTATTTAAAAATCATGTATTATTTTTGCCTTATTTTGCGCACAAGAGCGATAGTTCACAGGGAATAAGGAAGGTGTTGAATAGTTCTTTTTAACTTCATTGCCTAGTCTGTAGTCTTGGGGCTTATTTATTGTCCACTGTGCCAGCTAGTGCAATCCAAACCTGCACTGCATTTGGAATTATTAATTTCTTTTTACTGTTTTCAGTGGCATTCTTCATTATGGAATTATTTGAATACTTCGGCAATGAGTTTTTCTGTATGGGGGGAGCCAAGAA